TCCATTTAGTTCTCTCCTCCCCCATCACCTGTCCCCATCCCTGTTCATATTCCCAGTCTTCTGAGTTCTCACCTTCAGGTAAGTGACTTTACTAACTACCAAGTCTTCCACAATAGAGATCTTGGAATTTTCTTCAGCTTCTCTCTGTCACTTGCCATCATTCCCTCATGGCAAGTCAACCAATTCTGTGGAGTTTATCCTAGAGCTGTGACCTTGCTTTCCTATCTCCATTGCAACTCCTGGTTTAAACTCTTATTAGCCCTTGTCTGGCTTATTCCTATTGCCGTAGGCTCTTTACAACTTATCTCCCACCCTTCTACCAAGGTTGTTCCCTTAAAAATAAAAACAAGATCATGTCATAGCTTACTGACCTTTCCTGACTTCTGTGGCCTTTAGAATAAAATCCAAATTCCACAAACAGTCATCCAAGGATGTCCCATCAAGGCCCTGTCCTGCCTCTACCCCACCCCAGGCTCTTCCTCTTCATTCCCCAGGGACTCACCATTCTCCAGACAGATCAAGCCCTTTCCTGACTATCTTTGCACCTATTGGAATATGTGTGTACTGCACCTGGTCCTTTAATTATACCATCGCCTTCAATATGAATGTAGCCCAGTAATTGTTTAAAAGTTTAATTTGTTTTTCTCCCTGTGGTTCCCCCGTTTCCTCTCCCCATTCTAAAAGAATCTGTTCCTAGTCTCAGGGCAGACTGGGCAGGGTGATCACGGAGTTGACTGCAGACTCTTCCCTTCCTGGCTTGTATTTCCCAAGCCCTAAGCTCACTGAGGTGAACAGAGCTTGAGGCAAGGGTCTCTGATGGAAACAGACCTAGAGGGAGGGATATCCCCCACACCAGGAAGAGATGCTGGGCCTGAGAAGAGAAAGGAGATATTTCTGGTGCCCATGAGTGACAGGGAACTGTGCCATGCTTTCTGGATATATCAGGCACTGGGTGGAAATTCCCATGGTACATCAGGGAGATGGAGTGTGATATAGCTTGGAAATTTGTCTCCTCCAAATCTCACGTTAAAATATGACTTCCCCACCAGTGCTGGAGGTGGGACTTAGTGGGAGATATTGGGTCGCAGGGCAGATCATTCATGAATGGCTTCGTGCCATCCCCTTGGCGATGAGTGAGTTCTCGCTCTATTAGTGCACATGAAATTTGGTTGTTTAAAGGAGGCTAGCCCTTCCTTCTCACTCTCTTGCTCCCTCTCTTACCATGTAACATGCTTGCTCCCCCTTTGTCTTCAACCATGGGCAAAAGCATCCTGAGCCCTCACCAGAAGCAGATGTTGGTGCCATGCTTCTCATACAACCTGCAGAACTGAAAGCCAAATAAACCTTTTTTTATTTATAAATTACCCAGTCACGGGTATTCTCTTTTTTTTTTTTTTTTTTTTTTTTTTGAGGCAGAGTCTCTCTCTGTTGCCCAGGCTGGAGTGCAGTGGCATCATCATGGCTCACTGCAGTCTCAACCTCTTGGTCTCAAAGGATCCTCCTGCCGCAACCTCCTAAATTCCCAGGTAGCTGGCACTACAGGCATGTGTCACCATGCCCAGCTAACTTTTAAATTTTTTTGTAGAGATGAGGTCTCCCTGTGTTGCCCAGGCTGGTCTCAAACTCCTAGGCTCAAGGGGTCCTCCCACCTAAACCTCCCAAAGTGCTGGGATTGCAGGCATGAGCCACTGTGCCCTGTCCAGGTATTTCTTCATAGCAATGCAAAACAGACAAATATAGGGTCCTACAGCCAGGGTTCCTATGTCACAGAAATAGTAGCACCAGGGACTGAAGGGCCCTGCAGACTAACTGAGGCAACAGAATTTCAGCATAGCCTTGCATGCAGGGGGAATCCCCAGGAAGGACTAACATGACTTTCCCACGGCCCTAACAGGATGAGGGCTGACTGTGAAAATGAAGTTGAATGATAAGATAATGAAATGGGGTATTTATTGACCTGCTGAGCTTGTGCACTGAGATTCTGACCTGCTTGAGAAGTAGGCCTCTACCGGTCTTCCCCGGCTACCCCCCTGTTCTGCCTAAATGCCCTCTGCTCTCTGGCTCATGTCTTTCAGGCCCAGACTTCTGGCTCCCTAGACCTGCTGTCAGGGTTATTTGCCAACCTTCATCATTTCCTACCTGGTTCTTTGGACTTTGAGTTTCCTGAAGTTGGCTCGGCAAGCAGCTTGGGTTTTGGAATCCTCTATTACCTAGTTAGACGTGTGGCTACAGCCCTTGTTCCAACCCGCCTCTAGATGAGCCAACCTCTGGCCCCCAAGGGTAGAAGAAAGAAGGGACACAAGCACAGAAAGATTTTTTCTCTTTGCTTCCTGACATAACTGTATTCATCCTTCAAGTCCTTCTTCATGTATTATCTCCTGGGATCGTTCCCTGACCTCCTTAGGTAGGGTTCCTTTTCTGGGTTTCCATAGCATTTTTATACATCCGTGCCCTCACAGTGTATTCTTTATACATTTACGTGGCGGTCTTTCCATCTTGACTATGAGCACCTTGGGGGCAGGACCCCTGCTTCATTCACTTAGCACAATGTCAGCTACAGAATAAGTTCTCAAAAATGCTTATTAAATGCCACTTTTCATGCAGTCTCCACACTGTCATGTACTGTTCTTTTTCTAGCCTTTTTCTCTGTATCAGTAAGACATGCTTTTGGCTGCAAGTAACTGAGAGCCTGACTGCAATGATTTAATAGAGATTCTTTTTTTCTCACATGAAAAGGAGTTTGGGCCAGGCGCAGTGGCTAACACCTGTAATCCCAGTACTTTCAGAGGCCAAGGCAGGTGATCACTTGAGATCAGGAGTTTGAGACCAGCCTGGCCAACTTGGCAAAACCCTGTCTCTACTAAAAATATAAAAATTAGATGGGTGTGGTGGTGGGTGCCTGTAATCCCAGCTACTTAGAAGGCTGAGGCAGGAGAATCACTTCAACCTGGGAAGCAGAGGTTGCAATGAGCCAAGATCATGCCACTCTACTCCAGCCTGGGCAACACAGCGAGACTCCATCTCCAAAAAAGGAGTTTGGAGGCCAGGTGCTGTGGCCAATGCTGTAATATCAGCACTTTGGGAGGCCAAGGTGGGAGGATCACTTGAGTCTAGGAGTTGGAGGCTGCAGTGAGCTATGATTGCACCACTGCACTTAAGCCTGGTCAACAAATTGAGATACTGTCTCAAAAAAAAAAAAAAAAAAAAGTCTGCCCACAGTGGTTCATGCCTGTGATCCCAGCACTTTGGGAGGTCAAGGCAGATGAATCACTTGAGGCCAGTTCAAGACCAGCCTGGCCAACAGGGCAAAACCCCATCTCTACTAAAAATACCAAAGTTTGTCAGGCATGGTGGCACATGCCAGTAATCCCAACTACTTGGGAGGCTGAGGTACAAGAATTGCTTGAACCCAGGAAGCAGAGATTGCAGTGAGCCAAGATCTTGCCACTGCACTCTAGCCTAGGCTACAGAACAAGGCTCTGTCTCAAAAAAAAAAATTACTCTGAAGGTAAGGAACCTAGGACCATCAGAGACCCCAGTCTCTTCCTGCCTTTCTATCCTGTCCATTTTAATGTGCTGGATATAAGGTGGCTGCTGTGCCTCTAAGCATTGTATACCTGTTCTGGGCAGGAATAAATAGAAAGGGTGAAGAACCAACTCTGTCCCTTTTCATCAGGAAAGCACAGTTGTCTTAGAAAACTTCTGCTGACATCTCATTGGCCATAACTATGTCACATGGCCACCCCTAGCTGCAAGGGAAGCTGAGAAGGTGAAGGCAAGGGAGAAAGTGGAGAAGTGCGGGTGTGAATAAGAAAATTATTGGACCTTACCCCAGACCTACTGAATCAGAAGTGCTGGGGACAGGACCTGGCAACCTGTGATATAACAAGCCCTCCAGGGGATTTTAATGCAGCTGACATTGGAGAATCATAGCCAAATATGAAGGCCAGTATTATGATAGGAAAAAATCCTGGACTAGAATTCAAATCATCAATTTCTTGGTACAAGTTTTGTTACTAGCTAGCCAGGCGACCTTAGTTTCTCGTCTATAAAATGGGAGTAATAATGGTGGCTGTGACTTCATTCTCTGAATTGTTGTAAGGACCAGTTTAAATGATGTAGATGAAAACATGTCAAAAACTGTAAGTCATTAGATACTTGTATTGATTTTAAAATGGTAAAAGTTCTTATTGAATGAATGAAAGGTTGGGTGGTACTAAGGAAGAAGGAGAAGTTTTATATGAGGTAGGCTTAGAGTTCAAAAACAAAAATGAAATGTGAGAGAGTGTCGTGGTGAATTTTGTGTGTCCGTGGAGAACACTGATGAATAAGAGAAAAATTTTTCTAACTGGGACTGAGTAGTTTATTTTGTTTCTCTGTATTGTTAGTCAAAATTCCAAAAGAGTGATAGTCTCTTGACACTGTTTTTGTGTTCAGAGATGATTGCATATAATTAATATAAGGCCAAAAATGTCTATGTGCTGGCCTTTTAGAGTTTTGGTCACTCACAAGACATTTTCTTGGGTAATAATGATAGAATCTTGCAATAGTCATGTCACAGTTTATGTAGCTGACACGTTGGACAGAGTGCAAACGCCTGGGAAAAGCAAAGCTACCGGTAAAAGGTATGAAGGGTTTGTTCGAAAAGCTACAACAGTCAGGGACAAAAATAGAAATGGAAACCACAGGCGTTCAGAATACATTGTTATCAAAAACAAATGTTTGCAGCAGCTCCAGTGGTTGCTGCTACAGGTGGTTTCCATGAGCGGAAGAAGGACATAGACATACATGGTTTCGAAACAAACACTTTGGAGGATAATGAATTGGAGCATTTAGCAGAAAGGCTGGTAAGAAGATGTGAAACAAATGAAAGGGATTTAGTGTTCTGCCATCTGGAATAAAAATACTGAGATGCCATTGTCTGTGCACCAACCAAGGCGTCCATCCCGTACTGTATTAAAACTGCTCACTCAATTCCTTGTTCATTCGTTCTACAACAGCTACCCATATAACAGACATGGAGCAGTTTCCACCGGGTGAACTTAGACAAGTCATCAGCTGCTAACGAGGCACCAGGGAAGTCCCAGTCATATCTACATTTGCCTTCAGATAACCTTTACAGGTTTGGAAATTGCCATGATGAAAATAGCAAAGTAGTACTGAGCTTGGGAGTTTTACCTGTCTATTCAGGTGAAAACCACAGTATCAAGAAGGAAATGTTGGCAGCTGTATGAAAACACTAAAAACCAATGATTTGCATATCTTCAATGGATGAATTATACAGCATGTGAATTTTATCTCTATAAAGCTGCTACCAAAAAAAAGAAGGAAGTATTTTTAGGCAAAGATCTGGTGACACAGAGGCTGTGCAGTAGCTAAGAGACTTTGTTTGTATATGTGTCGGTTAAGTTTGTCTGCACAAAATGTGAAGCCAAGGTTTACTCATTGATTGATCTGTTTAACATCTGGACACTGACATGCAAGTGCTGTGATAAGAGAGTTTGTAGAAGCAAAATCACTAGTGCTGGGAATATAATCTGCATATGAAAAGCTGATGAGATGTAAACATCTGAAACTGGTGGGGACCCAAAGCCAAGGTCAGTTCATACAAATAGGTCAGGCTAGGCATGGTGGCTCATGCCTATAATCTCAGCTGTTTGGGAGGTCAAGGCAAGAGGATCACTTGAGCCCAGGAATTCGAGACCAGCCTGGGCAACATAGTGAGATCTCATCTCTACAAAAAATAAAAATAATAAAATTAATAGCCTGGTGTGGTGGTAGGTAACCATAGCCCCAACTACTCAGGAGGCTGAGGTGGGAGGATCACTTGAACTCAAGAGGTTGAGGCTGCAGTGAGCCATGAATGTGCCACTGCACTCCAGCCTAGGAGACAGAGCAAGACTCTGTCTCTAAAAAAACAAAGAAAAAACAACAACAACAACAACAACAAAAATAGGCCAATGCTGAGTCAGGGATTCAAAATATTCAACTTTGGAACTGGACTTCCTGAGGGTGTTTTAGTTGTGAATCAGGCAAATGGAGTCTTATCTGTTTGTCCTCTTCCCCTTCCAAGAACCCACTGTCCTCTTTCCTCCTCTTCAAGCCTTGAGTACGTAGTATGTAGGTAGCCAGGACAGCTGTAATTTGATATGTGAATGCATTTCCTCCTTTACATCCTGGGAAATTGTTATGGTTATTGCTGCTCTCGAAGACAGGAATTGATATGCAGCTTGATTGCAATGGAGAGTCTCAGAGTGAGGATTCCTGAGGTCAAGTGCCAGCCCCATCACTCACAGGTTATGTGACCTGAGTAAGTCATTGGATACCTCTTGATCTCATCCCTTCTCAGGTACTCAGCCTTTGCTACCATGATCACCCCTCTCTCCTGCAGCCAGTTTCAGCTTCTCTGCCATACCATTCTCACCAGCAATACCAGTAGTTGTTATTCCTCCCATAGTAAAAACCCCAAGAAAAGACAAAACCTCCCTGTCTTCCCATTCCCCTCTAGTTCCACTTCAATCCTTTGCTTTCCTTTATAACAAAATTTCTAAGAAAAGAATTGCTTAGTGTTATGGGCTGAACTGTGTGTCTCGCAAATTCATATGTTGAAGCCCTAATCCCTAGCACTTCCAAATGTGACTGTATATGACCAGGGCGGTGGTTCACACCTGTAATCCCAGCACTTTGGGAGGCCGAGGCTGTCAGATCATCTGAGATCAGGAGTTCAAGACTAGCCTGACCAACATGGTGAAACCTGTCTCTACTGAAAATACAAAAATTAGCTGGACGTGGTGGTATGCACCTGTAATCCCGGCTACTTGGGAGACTGAGGTAGGAGAAGGGCTTGAACCCAGGAGGTGGAGGCTGCAGTGAGCCAAGATTGTGCCACTGCACTCTAGCCTGGGTGACAGAGCAAGACTCCATCTCAAAAAAAAAAAAAAAAAAAGAATGTGACTATATATGGAGATAGGGCTTTGAAAGAGGTAATCAAGAGGTCATTAGGGTGATCCCTAATCCAGTATGATTGGTGTACTTACGAGAAGAAGAGATTAGCATGCAGACAACACAGGCAGAGCATGTGGGCACACAGGGAGAAGACAACCATCCACAAGCCAAGGAGAGTGGCCTCAGCAGAAACTGGCCTGCTGACACCTTGATCTTGGACTTCCAGCCTCCAGAACTATCAAAAAATACCTTTCTGTTCTTTAAGCCGTCCAATCTGCAGTACTTAGTTATGGCAGCGCCAGAAATAAATACATTTAGACTTCCTATGTCTGCTTCCTCACCTCCAGTCTCCCTTTCTTGTGATTTTCCTTCCTCTTTTTAACCTACTCCAGTCAGGACTCCATGGCCAACAATCACTCCTCGGGAACTGCCCATGTCAAAGTCACCACTGACCACTATTGACCACGATCTGTGGTTCTGGACCCCTGCTGACTCCAGTAGGGCTGGCACCATGTCAGAGAGGCCGAGGAAGAGACCTGGAGACAGCAAATGAGACAGAGGGTTTGTTGGGTGGATTTACATCCAAGGACAGTCCAGTGGCAGTTGGCTGGACAGGGGCACCATCCTCATTTGTAAAAAACATGCAGTTTGTATAGCATTTTCACTTAGCAACTTCCACCTGGCAACCTTCATTTAACCCCAAACAAAGGGCCTCCTTCCCCTGTACAACCCTCATTCCAAAAGGTAGGCCAGAGGTTTAGATGTCCTTCATGAATAATAAGTGAATTTCTGGTTGGCCACTCCCACATTCCTCAGCCCGTAACTCTGAACACACATCCTCTTGGACTAGAGGTTATTTTCAGGGTATGTGTAAGTGAAGTTACTGCTATCAGTACATCTGCTGTAGACCATCTTGCTGGATCCAGAGGCCACCTCGCTGTCCTCATCATATCCGGCTTCTCTGCAGTTTCTGAAGACATTTTCAGTACTGGGATCCCAGGCCACCACACTCTCTTATTTTTCAGTCACCCCATTGACTGCCCCTCCTCACTGTTCTTGGCTGGGTATCCCTTATCTTCTTTCTTCTAAATGTCAGAGCCCTGGGCCCAGCTTTCAGCCTCTCCTCTGTCCATAATCTCTCCCTAGCTCCTTCCATCCAGTTCTGTGGATATAAATATTAAAGCTGATAAGTTGCACATTTATATCACCACTCCCATCTCCTCTTTGAGCTCCAGACCCAAATATTCAATTGCCCTGGACATTTCTACCTGGATATAAAAAGCATTTCAAGCTCAATGTGTCCCCTCATCCTTCCTTTGTTTCTCCCTATTTTTTATTTTTTTATTTTTAGTTTTAGTTTTTGAGATGGAGTCTTGCTCTGTCACCCAGGCTAGAGTGCAGTGGCAAGATCTCAGCTCACTGCAACCCCTGCCTCCCAGGTTCAAGTGATTCTCCTGCCTCAGCATCCCAAGTAGCTGGGATTACAGGTGCCCACCACCACATCGGGGTAATTTTTGTATTTTTTAGTAAAGTTGGGGTTTCACCATGTTGGCCAGGCTGGTCTTGAACTCCTGACCTCAAATGATCTGCCCACCTTGGCCTCCCAAAGTGCTGGGATTACAGGCATAAGCCATCATGCCTGGCCCCCATTCCCTTTAATAGCATCATCGTTCACCCTGAGAAATCAGAACCCCATGCACCATCCTTGATTCTCTTTCTCTCACACTTCACATCAGTCCACTAAGCAGCCTTATTGTCTTCATCTCAGTCATTCATTTATCTCCCCCTCCACTTTTGCCATCCTACTCCTAACCCCACCCTCCCTCCTCTGAATCACTGCATCTTACTTCCCTGCCTCTCATCTTACCCACTACGAGCTGTTTTCTACACAGTAGCCAGGGGATTCTTTTGAAATTATTGTACCCTCTCATTTCCCATCACATTTTGAATGAAATCTAGACTTTGCATTCTCGTTTGCATGTTCCCTCCTGGCCCAGACCCTGCCCAACTCTCTGTTCTGGTCTCCTCCAGTCCCTTTCCCTCACTGCACTCCAGCCACACTGCTGGTCCTCTAAGCACCACTGTGGCATGCTGGGACCTTCACACTCACTGTTCCTTCTGCCTCTGCTACTGGTACTGATCCGAGCTTCACAGAGCTTGCTTGCCCCTTTCATCATGCAGGGCTTGGCTCAGACCTCACCTTCTGGAGAGGGCTTCCTTGACCCCCCAGCTCATATAGCACTTGCCCGAATGTTGGAGAACCCAGCATGCTCGAGTTACTCTTATGACCTTTTAATAAGCTCTTACTATAGTGCCAAGCATTATATTAAATACTTACATGCATTATCTCATTAACCTCGGACCCACTGAAGGAGGCATCCTAATGATCCCCATTTTATGCATCAGGAAACGGAGGCTGGGAGAGGTCAAGCCCAGAGTCATGCAGCTTGCACTAAGGTCTGATTCTAGAATTAGGGCTCTTAACCATTAGATTCAACTAATTCAGCTGCTTCTCACTCTAAATTCTACTCTGAGTTATGGATTATATGGCTTCCAGGAGTTTAATTTACAGGATTGATTGGTTTCTATTGCACTTGTGTTGAGCAGGTAAAGTAACTCAGGTGTATCAGTGTGTGCTAGGGTGGGACTTCTTTTCCAAACTATGGTTTTAAACATTCACATAATACAAAATGCAGGTTAGGTGGGCACAAACTCAAGCATGGGTCAAGAACACTTCTGTGGTTCCTGCTTATAGACTTATTAAAGCAGATGAAGATATTTTCCTGTTAATTTTATGGTTTGAGAGGGCTCAAGTTCTCAGAAGCAATTCAAGCTTTTAAGCATTTTTCCTCTTATTTTCTTTTAAAATCCTATTTCCTTTTAATCCATTTGGGGTTCAGAAAAGGGAAATACATAAATAACATCCTATTTCCACGTGGTGATTAGAGAGAAACTCTTTCAAATGAGAAGCACTATCATTTGAACATGTTCCCCAAAGTTCATGAGTTAGAAACTAAATCCCCAAGGCAACAGCGTTGAGAGGTGGACCTTTAAGAGGTGATTAGGTCATGAGTGCTCTGCCTCATAAATGGATTAATGCTGTTAAACCAGGAGTGGGTTAGTTATCACAGCAGTGGATTCCTGATAAAAGGATGAGTATGACCCTCTTCCTCTCATCTGTGTGTGTGTGTGCTTTCTTGCCCTTCTGTGGGTCTGTTGACCTTGGATTTGCCAAACTCCACAAGTGTAAGAAATAAATCTCTGTTCTTTATAAATTACCCAGTCTCAGGTATTCTGTTACAGCAACACAAAATGAACTAAGACAAGAAGGGTCTACGTGCTGGTAAGAAAACATGCTTATTGAAGA